ATAAAAATTATCCTGATAAAGAGAAGTTGAAATCTTTGTAACTCCTAGATGATGGTAGCAAATGTGTTTCTTGTAAATTGCATAACTGCAAAATTTTTATAGAAAGTTAGCAGCTTTTGATACAGAGGCCAGACTGCATTTTGCAACAAAAACTGAAGAAAAAAATGAGAAGTTCTAAGTTACCTATGGAGAACCTCCCGATAAAGAGGAAATTCTCTGAACCAGCTTTGCTATGAGCCTATAGTGTACCACAAAGTCTAGGAAACTTGAATGTTCTTTTTGAAACAGGCACAAATCACGTGTTTTAAAATTGAAAGAAAACAAATTGTAAACAGAAACTTAACACAGAAAATTGACTTATACAAAATAACATTAGGCGATTTGAAACTTGAGTCAGGAAAAAAACATAAATGAGAAAACATTCACTCATTGAAACCCATGATCTGCTCGTTGTAAGTATGGTTTCAATTTGAATATAACAAAGTTGATTGGAGAAAGAGCGCAGAAATAATACATATGGGATAAAAGGCAAACTGTGCATTTTGTTCATTGTAAGCGGATTCCGCAACAAGGACGCTCCCTTTGTTCTTCTTTTGTTCTTTACTTTCCTTTGATCGTTCCGACAAAATTTTAACATGTTTAAAGACTTGTCTCTGAAATCCAGGAACATACAGACACAAAACTGTGCGCCTATCTATAGCACAGTTTGGCCTCGTAGTGATATTTTTATCGCATGAAATTATAAACGAAAAAAAAAAAAAAAACTGACAAGCCAAGTTAGTTTGATCATCTGGTTGTTTTTAATCGTTATTTTTAACGAAAACATTCCAATAAACTATAAGACAAACAAATGAATTCACATTTACATTCACCAGTGAATGTGAATACGTTAGTTTGTCTTATAATTTATTGGAATGTTTTTGTTAAAAATAACGATTAAAAACAACCCGTTGATGAAACTAACTTGACTTGCCAGGTTTTTTTTGTTTTTTTTTTATAATTTGATGCGATATACACATTTTCTTTGATTCAGTTTTAGAAAAAAAAACAACTCTTAAAAATTTGCGTCGCTTAGTTTTAGCAAATGAACTAAATGTAGTCGCACTTAACAGAAAACGCAAAATAAAACAAGCAATTTTTCTGCCTAGATAGTATTATTTTTGTTTGCTATGAGTCCAGTCAGTTACATGCTAAAGTTTTCAGTTTTTAATTGATGATTGCTCATAAAAACTAATGTTTCTAATTACTGGTTTATTTATGAGTTTAACAGATTTGATTGAAGAAAAAACACAAAAATTCAACTTATCGGATAAATTGCACAACTTTTTTTGCTTCATTTTATACACAGAGACAAAACGGAGCTGCTTAAAATTTGTGATACCACAAAAAGACTGCAATACAAGATACTGAATAGAAAAAGAGGCGGAAGTCGATTTTTTTTTGAAAAATTAACTAAAAAATTTACTTGAAAAAAGTCAGAAGTTCACAAACACCTTTATCTCGGCCATATTTCTTAAGCAACATTAAAAGGAATTAAGAATGACTTCACCAGCTGCACATAAGGCGACAAACCTAATTTGATAAAATTTGAGCTATAAAATTTTGAAACGTTTTTACGACCCGTCCCATATTTTGCTGTCAAAAAGTTGCAGTACAAAATGACTAACTCAATATAACATAAGACGAAAACTAGTTTACATTTTTTTTCAAAAGAATAAAACTATTCAAAACAAGAATTTTACAAATGACTAAAAAAAAAGAGCACTTCAGGGAAATCAAAACCCTGTATAACTGCACTACTGACGCTTAAAATCATGCAAAACTAGCATTTCATAAATCGGAGAAGACATGCTTTTAAATTGCTAACACTATGCAGCAAAAATGTCAGCAAAATGATCACCAGCTAATTGGACTGAAAAATGGGTACCGGTAATACAACGCAATGCTCACATGTGTACTAATATTAATTGGAAGATTTTAAAACTAAAATTTTAGTTATTCTATGGAATTCCAACCTTACAAGAAACTAATAAAAAATAGAATAGGTCTACTTAAAACATTTATTCATATTCTTTTATATTATAGAATTTTTAGAAAAACTTGATCTAGAAGATAGAGGAACTTAAATCATTACTTGCTTATACGCACAGAAAAAAAATTGACCAAAATTTAACAACACAGAGGCGAAGCGGAGCTTCCCATCACTCGAGGTACAACACAAACATTTAAAAAAATAAGTCGAAAAAAACTCAAATGTTGAAAAAAGACTAGGTGAACCAAAATTTTCATGTCTCGATAAAAAAACAAGCTAAGGGCCTAGCTAAAGCTGGAGATATGTGTTTGATATTGCATGAATTTGCTATACTGATGCGGCACAAAACATGTGATTTCAAAAATTGGACTTTGTCCAAACCTTAGTTGCTTCTTTACTTATATAAGTGAGAAAAACAAATTGGAGAAAATCAGTTTTCCAAAAGAGACAACAATTTTGTTGCAAAAAATGAGGAGCCGTCGCTTCTGCAAGAACCAATATTGCAGCGAGTTCTTTTAGTTGAACTTTTTATCTCAGATTTGATTGTGTAAGTTTTAAGAAAATTCAAAGTTTCTGTTTCTGAGATAACTGAAAAATCAGGAAAACGTTCAAAATGGTTCCCAAATCCATGAAAATTTCCTGCAAAGACAAAATTGTGGCCGCTTAAGCAGAGAAGATTTCCAACTTTGAGCTTCTCGATTGAACAAAACCTGAGATTTGGCACGGTAGTTTTTGCGTAGAAACATTTTGCAAAAAAAGGTCAAAATTTCAGAATTTCGGTTTGTTTGAACACCATAAATTTTTTCTTATATAAACTGGGCATAGAAAAAAATAAATGTGGGTTTTTAACAGCTTGTTTTTTCGATTAAACCTATGCTATTAGTTTGGCAGGATAGTTGGCGAGAAAAGTCCAAAAAATGGTCAACTAATCAACAATCTGAAATTTCCGAGAACAATAGCTTTTTGTGAAAGTAGGACTTAGCCGCTTATTCAGAAGGATTCGCTTCATCTTTTTTCCGAGTGAACCCAAAACTTTGGATTTGGAAGGGTAGTTCACGAGAAGTGTCAAAAAATTTTTTAATTAGAAAAAAAAACAGTTAAAGAGTTTTCCGAGGGTCATAACTTTTGCTGTCGAAAAAATTATGACCCTCGAAAAAATTATGAGTCCCATAAGCAAAAGAGCTTCCCTAACCCGTTCTTTGAATTCAACCAATATCTCAAATATCGCAGGGTAGTTTTCGAGAATATTCAAAAAGTTTGAAAAACTGTTAAAAATCAAAAGTTTGACTACTCCGAGGGCCATAACTTTATGTTTCGAAATATTTGCGCGTAGCTGCTGATGCAGGGAGCGTTTTGATACCGTTCTATTCATTGAAACCAAAAACTCAGATTTGAGAGGGTTATTTTTTGAGAAAAAGAATAAAAAATATGGGTCAAATATTCCCCACATACTTTTTCGAAGGCTGTAGACAGAGGAGTCAAGAAAAAGGAGACTCTAAGCGAATACAGCGGCACACAGGGATGTAGGCAGTCTTTCAATGGACACCCATTTTTGAAAATTAGCTAAAGTTTCAGAGAAAAACTCAAACTGTTCCAATGAGTTTGGAAATAATTTTTCATAGGGAAAACAAGAAACTTCGACAAACCAATTTGTAAACAAACAACTAAAATGAAAAGTGCGGATGGGAGTGTTCAAGTTGTGTTTTCCACAAAACTACCTAAATTAGGTCTTTGAATCAATAAAAAACAGACAGAAACAACTTGGGACGAGGAACTTTCTTAAGCGAAACAGAAAATCAAGAAGGAAATACGAAGTCAGGGAAATTAAAATGTCAGATTGTAGAAGCAAAGCAAACAATCAAAGCAACAATTGAAAAAATGCGCGCAGCGAAAAACCAGAAACAGAATATTACCCGTTTGAAAAAAAACAGGTTCTGGTCAGTCAGATTCGAACCCAGGAACCTTTGCCGTCCCAGGCATATTCGTTGCCTCCAGGATAAGTTGACCATGAGCGCATAAAAAATTGAATTCGTTATAAACCTAAAAACAAGTGATTCTGTTAAACAAGTTGTTAATTCAAAAAAGTCTATATTCCAGTTAGATAACGATTGCTAATCGCACGCGTAATGATTCATTTTTCAGTAAAATGTCACGTTGAAATTTTCAACTTAACGAACTGTGTATAATCGGCACTTTATTCTTAGTTCTCCCATTTAGAGAAAACCAGACACTAGGTAAGCGTTCATTTCACTGGTACATCGGAAAATTAACGTCCTTTCAAATCAAGAAAATGATTAAGTTTTTTTGATACCTTAAAACTTTTGCTGTTCGATTGGTGAGTTTGACTTCCTTTTAACAAAGGAAACGAAATGAACTTAAAAAGACATCAGTCATAAGTCTAGCCGCAAAAAATCAATTTCGAGCGCGAACATAATTGAAGCTTATCCTTAAAAACAACAAAACATCACATTTCTTGCGACTTTCACATTTTTGCTGTTTGATTGTCAAGTTTGCCTTCCCCTGAACATAGAAAAGGAAATGAATTTAGAAAGGAAGCAAAAATCAAACCGCGAAAAAGTCATTGAGCCTGAAAAAATTTACCTGAGGACTTCATGAAAAAAAAAAACATCGCGACTCATATAATAATCTGATCTACCATGATCGACTGTTAAAAATGCAACTTTGGTCTTTCAAAAAAAACCATGACCTTAAGGCTCTGAGTTTCGAAAAAAAAACTAAGATTGTCATAATTTTGATAAAAACAACTCAATTGAGAAAACTGGATCAATAGATAAAGTTTCTATTCCACTGGAAAATCTGAAAATTAGAATCCAGTTTCGAAATTAGTAGTCGAACACACGTCGAGAGAGCGATATATCATTTGTACAGCTCAAAATTGCGTTCCACTAAATCGTCTAGGGGTCCATCTTGAGCATCGATCTAAGAAACCTAGGCTCATTTGAAAACCTGTATTAAAAAATTAATTGAACTTCGGAATATAACAAGCCAAGAGGATCGAAGACGAGTGAATATGCCAGATTGTCATGTAGATGGACAAAAATTATACAATCTTTACTTTCAAAATTAATAAAACCGACTCGTTGAAATCTGCGTGTAACACAATCTGCCTAGACATCTGATTTGTCACCAACTCCAAATTGAGTTCAACTTCTACGGGCCTACACATACTCAAGAATGCTCAGCATCGCAAAGTTATTTGCTTCTGAATCGGCAGAATTATTTCCAAAATCGGTAACAGTACAAAAATGGTACAGACAACTTTCGATGTTAATTTAAAATTCATGTCGTATTTGTTTGTTCCATTTTCTAAAGTTAAAGAATTGGTCAACTCATCGCACATTCATATACTTTACATGCTTGATTTATGGGCGATGAATTGATATCATTTCAAAACTTGAGATCTATTTCAATGGCAAACATGATAGCAAATATGCTGCTACTAAATGTGTCAAACTGTTGTGGCTCGACGTCTAATAATATTTTAAATTGTAAAAAACTCCACACTGAATAGCAGCATGGTTACAAATGCATTGTAGAACGTGTGACAACACAATTTAGAAAAAGAATGCAACTAGTAGCATTATATGGCGACATCCTTTTCCCGTTATATTCATGTTAAATAGATCTATATTTATTCATTCAAGGTCATAAGTTCATTTGTTCAGTAATAATACATGGTGTTGTTCCTCTATTTGCAGATATTTAGAATTCGTGCCTCGTCTGTTTTGGGCGCGCGTCTGGTCTTAATTGTCTTAATCTGGTAGCCGCGTCATCTGTTGTTCATGTGGAGGAAGTTAATTAAGGGTGGTGCTACATAGCGTACTTGCGGGTCCAGTCTTTGGCTGACTCGTTGTACTTCGCTCGGTTCTGTTTGTACTGCCTGGCGATGTCTGGTACCAGTGGATCGTCTGGGTTAGGGTCAGTTAGCAGTGAACAGATTGATAATAGCACTGAAAAACAATACACGATTATGATTCGTCAATTAACGAGCCTTTATCGGACTAAGCTAATATGGGGAAAAGATATACTGATCACAAAGGATCATTAATCATCAGATCTATGAGGCACAGAATGAGAACGAAGATAAAACTTGACTTCCTTTCAAAAACATGCAACTGCGTCTAAGTTTAAACTACCATCATACGATGCTGAGCAATCTTGGTTGAAGCATTTAAAATAAACGGAGCGTAACTGAACCAAATTGAGCCAACTTCGTCTCTCTCTTTGAGAGACATGAACTGTTCAGTTCAAGGCCTATCAGAAGTAGATCATGTTTGAGTAAGAAGAATGACTAGCAGTCTGAGAAGAGATACTGGCTTAGATACCTTTCGAAATAGTGAGAGCCGGTGACCACTGGTTTCTGAGAATGTCGAGACAAATGCTTCCGTTGCTGTTTATGTTCGGGTGATATATTTTGGTCGTGAACGCGACCTAAAAACACAAAATGTCGCAATCAACCACAGTTATTGAAGACATTTTAAATTAAGTAATGGTGATATCAGAGCAGTTAATAGCACAACGCAGAGTATGGCGACATCATAAAACATACTACATGTTCAAGGCAGAATTCAATTCAAAAGCCAACAAGATTTTTTCAATTAGAAAGTAAGACTCATTCTCCACACGGGAAAAGACCAACATAAGAGCTGTTCAGCTCATCAAGGAGCACCGCTGTTGCGCCCCTGCGTAAGACTTAAATGCTATTTTTGGTTATTTTTCAACAAAAGACAGTTATAAAAATTTTACTGAGATCCAGTAACAGAACCGGTGACTAATTGTTAAATACAGATTTACTAATTTACAAAGGTATTGGACCATGAAGTATCAGGTTTTGGCAAAACTGAAAAATATCCATAAAAATTAGAAATAAAGACTATGTAAAAAATACTGCTAAAATTCTCTTGAAAAAACCAGAATCAAATGGCTTACAAGAGGTAAGACATATGTTGACATTTCTGACAGCCATATATGGAAGACTGCACTCATATCATAGATTACGTTATGCGGGAGAAAATCAACAGACAAAAAACTTGATCAAATTCTTCACTAACCGTACTAAACACTTAATGAACAAAAATTTTAAGCAAGAAAAAATTTTTCATATTGGAATAATTGACACAGAGGCGAAACGTTGCTTTGCATCACTTGCGATAAAACACAAACATAGAAAACATAAGACGAAAACAAAAATGTTTACACGGAGGCAGAGCTGAGCTTCGCGCCACTTGCGATACAAATATGAATCACTATGATTAAAATCAAACGTAAAACATTGAAACAAAATTCAAAAAATTTGTTTTTGTCAATAAAAAATTGGAACAAGAGCCCAAAACATCCGGAACAAAATTGCCTGCATCATTAGAAACTTTACAAATAGCTTTCGAAATGCTAGAAAGAAACCAAACAGAAGCTTCTTAACTTAAAAAGCTTTGTTCATAGATAAAAACAGACACGCTCATCTCAAGTGTCAGGGAAGCGAACAAACTCTGCTCCGCATACACGAGTGGAAAATCAAGTGTTTTTACAAAAATGCAGATCATATAAAAAACACAAAATCAAATCGAAGAAATGAATGTTTTGAAAAAAATAGTTGAGCTGAACGCATACTCCTTACTATCCCCTCAAGATACACAATCTGCACCATATTTACCCAATTAATGGGTTTGACTTATGCAATAGCTGAAATGCAACACAGATATATTTAGATACTGGAAGAAGTGGAATCATAAATAGAGTCAAAGCCCACTTGTTTAATATGATTATCTATTAAAACTCGTAGTTGGATCTTGGTAGCAATTTTCTCCCGATAATAATAATTATTATTATTATAATAATAATAATACTAATAAAAATTATAATAAAAATAAGAATAAAATAGTAAAATAACTTTACAACTTAAGTTGATGGGAGTTCAATCCCGAAAAGACAGTCAGGTAAGCCACTAATTGCAGCTTCTGCACATCACACACCAAAAGCAAATATTCACTTCTATAAAATTTGAGATGAAGCATCTCCACAAGGTGTCTAGCAGTTTGGGCTTGAGACCAATAGGTTTTGGAATATATATGGTCGGAAGAAATCGCTAAACGGTTGTTGTTTGTTGTTGATGCTAGCCCAATTTGCTGGACCCAAATCGCGAAACTCGATATGTGCTTATGGAAAACTCTTGATGAGAGAATTCAGTCTGAGATCGCAATATAGGAACAGTAATCATCATGTTTTATCTGGTCGATGCGTTTGCCAACTTAACAGAGTCATCAAAAGATAGATCATATCGTCCGTTGCATACTTTTGCTAAAGTCAGAATATCTAGGATTTGCAACTATAAAAGAATGGGAAAACTTTCAGATTTGATAAGACAATCCTTCTAGATGGGGATACAAGACACAATCTAATTATTGATTCTGCTCTACAAACGTTCGATGCATCTCATGTCGACTCCGGGAGCGAACCAGCACGGAGATGCATAACAAAGAATTGCCAAGATCCTTGTAATCCTAGATTGCCGAGACCACATTTCCATTTATTCAGGTGTGTTTTAACTTTTTTCAACGCAAAATCAGGTACCACAAATAATCATCGGAGTCTCGAGTGATAGAACATATTAAAGCCTTTCAGTCGTGATTAAAACGACTAAGAAAAATCGTACTCCCTCATTTGGTCCAAACTATACTATAATAAAAAAGACCACCCACGAGAGGACGGAGGGCTCCTAACTGTCATACACACATCGATTATGTACGATGAATTGCAAATCGTAGAGGATGATTAACTATGATTAAAATCAAACGTAAAACATTGAAACAAAATTCAAAAAGTTTGTTTTTGTCAATAAAAATTGGAACAAGAGCCCAAAACATCCGGAACAAAATTGCCTGCATCATTAGAAACTTTACAAATAGCTTTCGAAATGCTAGAAAGAAACCAAACAGAAGCTTCTTAACTTAAAAAGCTTTGTTCATAGATAAAAACAGACACGCTCATCTCAAGTGTCAGGGAAGCGAACAAACTCTCCTCCGCATACACGAGTGGAAAATCAAGTGTTTTTACAAAAATGCAGATCATATAAAAAACACAAAATCAAATCGAAGAAATGAATGTTTTGAAAAAAATAGTTGAGTTGAACGCATACCCCTTACTATCCCCTCAAGATACACAATCTGCACCATATTTACCCAATTAATGGGTTTGACTTATGCAATAGCTGAAATGCAACACAGATATATTTAGATACTGGAAGAAGTGGAATCATAAATAGAGTCAAAGCCCACTTGTTTAATATGATTATCTATTAAAACTCGTAGTTGGATCTTGGTAGCAATTTTCTCCCGATAATAATAATAATTATTATTATAATAATAATAATACTAATAAAAATTATAATAAAAATAAGAATAAAAATAGTAAAATAACTTTACAACTTAAGTTGATGGGAGTTCAATCCCGAAAAGACAGTCAGGTAAGCCACTAATTGCAGCTTCTGCACATCACACACCAAAAGCAAATATTCACTTCTATAAAATTTGAGATGAAGCATCTCCACAAGGTGTCTAGCAGTTTGGGCTTGAGACCAATAGGTTTTGGAATATATATGGTCGGAAGAAATCGCTAAACGGTTGTTGTTTGTTGTTGATGCTAGCCCAATTTGCTGGACCCAAATCGCGAAACTCGATATGTGCTTATGGAAAACTCTTGATGAGAGAATTCAGTCTGAGATCGCAAAATAGGAACAGTAATCATCATGTTTTATCTGGTCGATGCGTTTGCCAACTTAACAGAGTCATCAAAAGATAGATCATATCGTCCGTTGCATACTTTTGCTAAAGTCAGAATATCTAGGATTTGCAACTATAAAAGAATGGGAAAACTTTCAGATTTGATAAGACAATCCTTCTAGATGGGGATACAAGACACAATCTACTTATTGATTCTGCTCTACAAACGTTCGATGCATCTCATGTCGACTCCGGGAGCGAACCAGCACGGAGATGCATAACAAAGAATTGCCAAGATCCTTGTAATCCTAGATTGCCGAGACCACATTTCCATTTATTCAGGTGTGTTTTAACTTTTTTCAACGCAAAATCAGGTACCACAAATAATCATCGGAGTTTCGAGTGATAGAACATATTAAAGCCTTTCAGTCGTGATTAAAACGACTAAGAAAAATCGTACTCCCTCATTTGGTCCAAACTATACTATAATAAAAAAGACCACCCACGAGAGGACGGAGGGCTCCTAACTGTCATACACACATCGATTATGTACGATGAATTGCAAATCGTAGAGGATGATTAACTATGATTAAAATCAAACGTAAAACATTGAAACAAAATTCAAAAAATTTGTTTTTGTCAATAAAAATTGGAACAAGAGCCCAAAACATCCGGAACAAAATTGCCTGCATCATTAGAAACTTTACAAATAGCTTTCGAAATGCTAGAAAGAAACCAAACAGAAGCTTCTTAACTTAAAAAGCTTTGTTCATAGATAAAAACAGACACGCTCATCTCAAGTGTCAGGGAAGCGAACTCTCCTCCGCATACACGAGTGGAAAATCAAGTGTTTTTACAAAAATGCAGATCATATAAAAAACACAAAATCAAATTGAAGAAATGAATGTTTTGAAAAAAATAGTTGAGTTGAACGCATACCCCTTACTATCCCCTCAAGATACACAATCTGCACCATATTTACCCAATTAATGGGTTTGACTTATGCAATAGCTGAAATGCAACACAGATATATTTAGATACTGGAAGAAGTGGAATCATAAATAGAGTCAAAGCCCACTTGTTTAATATGATTATCTATTAAAACTCGTAGTTGGATCTTGGTAGCAATTTTCTCCCGATAATAATAATAATTATTATTATAATAATAATAATATTAATAAAAATTATAATAAAAATAAGAATAAAAATAGTAAAATAACTTTACAACTTAAGTTGATGGGAGTTCAACCCCGAAAAGACAGTCAGGTAAGCCACTAATTGCAGCTTCTGCACATCACACACCAAAAGCAAATATTCACTTCTATAAAATTTGAGATGAAGCATCTCCACAAGGTGTCTAGCAGTTTGGGCTTGAGACCAATAGGTTTTGGAATATATATGGTCGGAAGAAATCGCTAAACGGTTGTTGTTTGTTGTTGATGCTAGCCCAATTTGCTGGACCCAAATCGCGAAACTCGATATGTGCTTATGGAAAACTCTTGATGAGAGAATTCAGTCTGAGATCGCAATATAGGAACAGTAATCATCATGTTTTATCTGGTCGATGCGTTTGCCAACTTAACAGAGTCATCAAAAGATAGATCATATCGTCCGTTGCATACTTTTGCTAAAGTCAGAATATCTAGGATTTGCAACTATAAAAGAATGGGAAAACTTTCAGATTTGATAAGACAATCCTTCTAGATGGGGATACAA